ATTGAACTAACCTAATTTTATACCGTAGCGATACTGAGCGGAGCCTTGATACAGTTTTTGCGAACGAGAGCTTAATCTGGTGTGGTTAACGGTTTTGGACCAGGCTTGAGGCAACCACTCACGACTTTCGAACAGTACCATCTACACAGTTTTACTCATAACATTTGGGTCAGCCTGTCGGGTATCGTTTTCAGGCACTTCCCAACGGTGCCGCAGGCTGGAATCGAACGTTCTAACCACCTGACCACGTATATGTCAGGATTTGTTTATACACAGTCAATACATTTATTGTTCCATAGTTTCAAATTATTTTATTTAGTTGTTGTTGTTTTTAAATGCTATCTCTTGAAAGGACATAGCCGGTCATGGCTCTCCATAATTTCCATCTCTTTATTTCTTAGGAAAGATAGTGGAGTGGTTACCAGTTGCCTTCTCTGTGGTTTTCAATTCAGAATTATCTTTTTGTCAAGACTAGCTGCCAGTCAAGGCTAGAGAGGCTAGTATACCTTGCTATTTAACCAATAGCTAGAGGTTAGATCCAGCTCGTTCAAAATGTGATGCAAGAATTGTTTACAGTAGAGACCCACATGTGTCAAGGAACAAAATTTGCTTAAGCACCCTTGAGACTTCTTTGGTGATGCTTCAGACGCTAAGTAGTAACCTTAGTTCTTACCCGAAGGAGAAACAATGATTTGGAGATGTCTCTCTCTTGGACTCGAGCTAATATTAATTTACAACCTCTCGGTACGTTCTCCTGTAGCACTGAATGGATTAGATGCTTTTCAGAAAATATAAAAATGACATAGAGTACCAAACATATATATTAGATAACTGATATACAAGAGTTCAACATATTATTATCTAACCTGAGATGGTTATACCACCAAGAAGAGAAAATGCATGAGCTCGCTCCCTCATATTATTTTTTCTTGCTGGCATTGCCTGACCTACGAAAGTTTGTAAAAGCAGACTGGATCAGCTTTTGGGATGATGCTTGTCACTTTCCGAAATGCTGTCCGAATTTCCTTTGGCCTGCAAACGATGGATAGTGACGTATGCTTCCATTACGTATGCAATTTCTTTTGGAGGCCACGACATTATGAAGCTCTACTGCCAGCAAAAAGATATCAGATACATGTAGGAAATGGCAAATCTTATATAATGCGTTGAACTCTTGTATATCAGTTATGTAATAAATATATTTGGTGCTCAATGTCATTTTTAAAATCCTAAATATTTGGTGTGTCTCATCATTATAGAGAAAGAAAAAGTTTAATATATTTTCCATCCTTGGTTTAGGGAAATGATATTTATATTTCTTTATTTATAAAAATGACTTGGAGTACTAAATATACTTATTAGATAACTGATATACATAGGTTCAATATCTTATCTAACATTTCAAACTTACATCCCTGAGATGGTCACCACCATGAATGGAACATGCATGAGCTTTCTATCTTATGTCATTTTTTCTTACTGGCATTGCCTGACGCACAAAAGTTAGTAACAGTAGACAGGATCACCTTTTGGGATAGAGCTTGTCATTTGCCGAAATGCTTTCAGAAATCTTTGGGTGGCAAACAATGGATCTTTGGCTAGTGAAGTATGCTTCCATTACATATACAATTTCTTTTGGTGTCCACGGCATTATGAGGCTCTATTACCAGCAAAAGAGCTATCAGATACCTGTAGGAAATAGCAAAATCTTAGATAATGTGTTGAACTCTTGTATATCAGTTATGTAATAAAAATATTTGGTTCCCGATGTCATTTTTAGAATCCAAAATATTTGCTGCGTTCCATCATTATAGAATACCCTGTATAATTTCGTTCGGACGTTATTTTTTTTTTTAATCTAAACTTATACAGAAGCTAATATTTGGCGCCTAGTGTAGAGATATTCTTAGCAGCCTACTGCCGCTCGTGTCGTGAGTTCGATTTTTCTTCGTTGTAGACTTGAGATAAAGAATTGGTCAGTATATGCAGTACCCTACAACGTAACAGCTACCCTGGATACATGGCAGCAGCCCCCAAAAACTGGGATAGGCGGGTACAAGATGAGGACAACAACACTCAGAAAACCGTCTGCCTGTTTTATGTGACGGGCTTATCGGAGAAAATACAAAGGATCTGTGGTCCATATAACACCAGGACAACCTTCAAAAGCTGAACGACACTTCACAGATATCTCTCCAAAGTAAGACCCCCCCCCCCATAGAGGAGAACATGACTAAAGACTGCGTACACTACCCCGTGCAGCTGCGGAAAGAAATATAAAGGAGAAACAGGGCGCCCCCTTAAGGTAAGGCTTCAAGAACACCAAAAAGCTGTAACACGAGGGGAAGTGGAAAAATCAAACGTGGCTGACCACATATGGAGAGAAAAGGGAGATCACCGCCCTCTGTGGGATCAGGTTGAAATCATAGACAAAAAACATCATTGGAAAATTTGTAAACTTAAGAAATCAGCACATATGCTAGGCCACAAAAATTTCCTGAGCCGACCAAGCATAGAAATGAATACAATATGGGAACCAGTAATAAGGAGTGCCAGAGAAAAGTGATAATAACAACAAAAATTGCAATATGAGGTCTGGTAAAAAACATGCAATGATAACAGCAAAAATTGTATTATGAACACTTGTAAAAAATGATTACTGAAGGCATTAGGTTTATAATACTCAGAAATTCATACACATACGTCCTCAAGAACACATGGCGTTAGTTAGATCCAGTGACAGATCCCAAAGAGTGTGAATACCTGATTGAGGCGGTGGAGAACTTTGAGAGGGGAATTAACAGGAGATAATTGATAACTGACATCCATTAAACATGGCACGTGGAACTAGAACAGTCTACCCCAGTGAGCGAAATAAAGGGTTCAGTTTGACATTCCTATCATCTGAACATACAACGGCCGAAACGTTGTGATAAATATGGCGACAAAGATGAGGTGAATAGTCCGAATAATGTAAATAGTGTACATAATACCTCATCTCAGAAATATAGACAGATACTGAAGGGCCGAAACGTTGTAAGAAATATGGCGACAAATATGAGGACAATAGTCCGAATAATGTAAATAGTGTACATAATACATCTCAGAAATATAAACAGATATAAAAAAAAGGCGTAAATAGAATATATATATATATAGAAATGTTCTTATAAGTAAATACAGCGTGCGTAAAAGTTCCTTGTTGGTTTGGTAGATTTATCAGCCTAGGGCAGGAGTGGGCAATCTTTTTGAGGATGCGTGCCAAAACCGGTCAAATCTCTGACACAAAATCTTTCCACGTGCCAACAAAAGTTTTTTGAGAACATTTTATTTGATATATCTTACGTCTGTGAAGAACTTTTTTAAATGATAAAAAAATCATCTCGACCAGTAAAGACACGTTGTTTTAAGAAATTATGTAAATCGTGTAAAACTGATTGAATGAAAAAATTATGACAGGTTTTTACGAAAAAGTTTTTGGTGATATTTTTTATTAACCTGCAAGTATAAATGTAACTGCCATACAATTTAAAAACACTATTAACCATTATTAACATCATTATTAACCATTATTAACATCAACAAAAACGTTTACATTATTTTCTTTGTATGAAAATTTCTCCGATTTAACCAGTAGAGAAGACAATATTTATGAATAAAAATGACAATAGGAAAACTGGTAATTGTTGACGCTTTTGCTTTGATAAAGTCCACATTGGACGAAACGCGTCAGCAATTACCAGTTTTCCTATTGTCATTTTTATTCATAATTATTTTCTTTATTAATTAATCATCATTTTCCCAGTATATATTTTATGAAAGGTTATTAAAAGTAAAAGGTTATTAAAAATAATCTTTTGATGATTTTAAATCCCTTATAAATGATGTATAAAAATATATCTATTTACTTTCAAAACTACATTTAAACAGCTCTGAAACTTTGCCACTTGCAAAAGAAAACATCAGATAAAACTAGAGACAGAAAACTTGTTAACTCTTTTTATATATTATCAATGTGGCTTCTGCATCATTCATGACAGAAATATTTTATCGGGTTAATATTTAGTAATCTTAAGAGGTATGCATGCACTAACAGTTTCATCCGTCAGTCTACTCCAGTTACAAGACTTAACAATGTTCATGACAGAACGAAAATTCACAAACATATGTAGATGAAAACATGGATAGTAATGTTGTTGCAAGGTTTTTCAAACAGGCAAATTTTTCCAGAATTGTGTTCCAAGTCCTTAATACTTCATTTTCTGCACCTCTCTCTTTAATACTCCCATCTCTAATCGCTCCGTTTCAATATTTTCCAAGTCAACTCTAAGGTCAACAGATTTCTGCATCCAAATTGAGCGACTCTGAAATTCAATCAACTACATTTCAAAATCATCCATGTCTTCCACGAAAACATTTGCAAGTTTACTTCATCCAGTTTGATAGTGTCTAGAAACTTAATGAATTCTGCTGTCTCTTCCAGTTCTCTGAAATTATCAAACCATTTTTCCATTAAGAACTGCTCAACAGTTGATTTGATGATGTTTGCAAACAGCTTTTGAAGACATAGGTGATCTGTTCTGCCATCTTTTGGGAAATCATTGATATACCTCTGTAGGTTTGGGAAGTATGTAAATATCTCATTGTTTATATCCTTCTTAAAAACTTCTAGTTTCATTTGAAATCATTTATGTAACCAAACATAACATCAAGTGCCTTACCATAGCCTTGTAATTTAATATCCGAATCTTTTAAATGTTCATGCAAAAAACATCAATTTACAAACCCACGTGATGTCAGACAATTCTTCGTAAGACTTTCGTTGGTCATTCCAAACCCACGTGATGTCAGACAATTCTTCGTAAGACTTTCGTTGGTCATTCCAAACCCACGTGATGTCAGACAATTCTTCGTAAGACTTTCGTTGGTCATTCCAAACCCACGTGATGTCAGACAATTCTTCGTAAGACTTTCGTTGGTCATTCCAAACCCACGTGATGTCAGACAATTCTTCGTAAAGACTTTCGTTGGTCATTCCAAACCCACGTGATGTCAGACAATTCTTCGTAAGACTTTCGTTGGTCATTCCAAACCCACGTGATGTCAGACAATTCTTCGTAAGACTTTCGTTGGTCATTCCAAACCCACGTGATGTCAGACAATTCTTCGTAAGACTTTCGTTGGTCATTCCAAACCCACGTGATGTCAGACAATTCTTCGTAAGACTTTCGTTGGTCATTCCAAACCCACGTGATGTCAGACAATTCTTCGTAAGACTTTCGTTGGTCATTCCAAACCCACGTGATGTCAGACAATTCTTCGTAAGACTTTCGTTGGTCATTCCAAACCCACGTGATGTCAGACAATTCTTCGTAAGACTTTCGTTGGTCATTCCAAACCCACGTGATGTCAGACAATTCTTCGTAAGACTTTCGTTGGTCATTCCAAACCCACGTGATGTCAGACAATTCTTCGTAAGACTTTCGTTGGTCATTCCAAACCCACGTGATGTCAGACAATTCTTCGTAAGACTTTCGTTGGTCATTCCAAATCCACGTGCACGTGGGTTTGGAATGACCAACGAAAGTCTTACGAAGAATTGTCTGACATCACGTGGGTTTGGAATTGTCTTTTATTTAAATATAATTAAAAGCCTTGGTAATTGTTTGGATCACTTCCTAAAGTTCCTTTATATCAGCTTTTGCACACAAATCCTCCTCATGCATGATGCAATGAAGACCTATCAGCGGATGACCAACATCTTTACAGATTTACAAATCCTGTCTTCTCACCAGTCATGCTGGGGTTACCATCTGCTTCTGGCAGGTCCTACTTTTGAAATGTGAATTTGTCGAATAGATAATTCGTTCACAACTGCTTTACATATTTCAGCCTCAGGAGTACCCTCAGGTAGTGTTACAAAGGCAACCATCTCTTCACATACTTCATCACCACAATAAAATCGAGAAAATATGTCTAACTGATGATGTAATGTCCGTACTTTTATCAACACAAACAGAAAAAAACTAACATGAAGACAAATCTTTTGTCAATTGTTCAGCTGCATTCCTTTCCAACTTAAGTATCCTACCCTTAACTGTTTTCCTACTCACAGACAAATCTTTAATGCGCTGAATAATTTTTTTCCTTTTCTGAAAAAATGTCAAAAAGAAAAGGCGCCAAGTTTCTTTAATACACTCCCCATTGCTGAATGGGCAATAACTTTTGAAACCTCAAAACTAGTAGCAACTAAGTTGGAACTGGGCCTACCTTAAAGAAAGTTCATAAAAGTATCAATTTTTTTTGTCTTGCACAGTTCACTACAAATTAATTTTCTTTCTTCCTCCTCAGTTTTATTACTTAAGTCCTTAGTAACATTTTCAAAAGGTCTCTTTACAGAAGAAGCCCTACAAATGATTGTTTTGGAACAAAAAATATATAAGGCGTTATTGTCTTTCTTAATCATGTAAAATTTTTGAGTCTAATCTACTTTAAATTCTCTAATATCCTCTTCATTTGAATGACATCATTTCTTTGGCTGATGATTGTGACATTCTGCACAATGTGTAAAGGGCAGAAAATAAAAATACATGAGACAATGATAAATAATGAAAGGAGGAGAAAGACTAAAAATAAGTAAAAGGTGAATCTAATAACACTATTTACATTAATCGGACTATTGTCCTCATCTTTGTTGCCATATTTATCACAACGTTTCGGCCGTTGTACGCCCCGGCCTTCTGTCGAAATGAACCCGTTATTTCGCTCACTGGGGTAGACAGTTCTAGTTCCACGTGCCATGTCTAACGGATGTCAGTTATCAATAATCCCCTGTTAATTCCCTTCTCAAAGTTCTCCACCACCTTAACCGGGTATTGAACTCACACTCTTTGGGTCCTGTCACTGGATCTAACTATCAAGGACACATGGCACAGTGGATAAAGGCGTTGTAATAAATATGGCGACAAAGATGAGGACAATAGTCCGAATAATGTAAATATTCTACATAATACCTCATCTCAGAAATATAGACGGATACTGAAGGGTCGAAACGTTGTAATAAATATGGCGACAAAGATGAGGACAATAGTCCGAATAATGTAAATAGTGTACATAATACCTCATCTCAGAAATATAGACAAATACTGAATCGAATGTTTCGCGTGTCATAAACATGTATCGGCGTGCCGTATTTGGCACGCATGCCAAGGGCTGCATATTCTTGGCCTAGGGCGTCCGCATGTTGTGTTGCTTGCAATACGACACGTGGTTCGTTGGAGACTAAAAGACATATCTTGTCCCTACGGCAAGATGTTATTAATAAACACAGAGAGAGAGAGAGAGAGAGAGAGAGAGAGAGAAAGTGAGAGAGATAGAGAGGGGGAAGAGAAAGAGGAGGAGGGAGAGAAAGAGAGAGAGAGAGAGGGTGAGAGAGAGAAAGTGAGAGAGATAGAGAGGGGGAAGAGAAAGAGGAGGAGGAGAGAGAGAGAGAGGGTGACAGAGAGAGAGGGGGCGGATGCTTCGCGATTGTTTTTTTATACTGCTCTTTGTAACGTCGCTCAGCGGTCGGCCGCAGAAGTTTCCCCACGGACAAGCCACGGGATAGAGAAAATGCAAAGGTAATGACATTATCGATGTCGCTAATAGCTCAAGTCTTTAAAAATCAAATAATTTTTCTTTCTCGATGAGGAATCGAACCCTGGAATCCTGCGTGTGTGGGGGGGGGGTACTTCATACTATACTACGAAGGAAAGACACTACGCAAACATTCCTCCAACTTTTTCTTTCTCCTTGGCAGACTTTTTTTTTAAACTGTGATATTTAATACCTTTAGCTAATTGCAAGGTTCACACCCAGTTGAAGATAATTGCCTCGCAATAAATAGTTTCTCATTCATCTTTCATGAATCATGAGCCGACCAAAATAGTGAAAGTGAAAGTAAAGAAAGCGAACGAAAAAAGCGTATGTATTTTTCCGGGTTGAAGGCGTGGTCTATATAACTTAAATTAATAATTACACAATTACCTTGTAATGTTTTTGTTCTATTTTACACGTATGGTATAATTGTATTTTAAGCACTAGCATAGTAATCCTCAAAAATGATAAGTTTATAAGAATTTTTTTAGATTCAATATATGTCTTTATGTTAACTCTGTTAACCAGTCTTAAAATATTCATTTTTACAATAACTATCTCACTTGTTGGCTATTGTGGCATGTGTGGTCTTCCTTACTTTGCTCGATTCAGCAGTAGCAGCAACGGAAGTAATCGTCTGTAAACAACTGGAAGTCCCAAAACTCATAAAAACGCTAACCGAGCCTTATTTGGCCTCTTTTTCAACTTTTCCTTTACAGCGGCCGCTATCTCGAAGAAGCATTGACAAGCCATGCTGCAGAAGAAACTGAGATTTCTCGTTCCTCATGGGAACAAGTGGAGAAATCTCTCTTCGAAACATCTACTCAAGAGAAGAGCTCTATTAGCTGGGAAACTCTAATTTTTCCCACAACAAAATACCACTATTTTGCACTCTCTTTCGACTACGAATAATAGCTGTTAAAGTTATTTCTAGCCTTGGGTTAATTTATTCCATTCTGTGCCCTGCCAAGCACAAGCACAGACAGGCAACCGGGAAAATCCCAAGATTCTCTCGCCTAAGCGATGCTGAATTTGTGATGTGTAGTATGTCCTCCTTTACGGCAGCGAATATTGGGCGGTTTTCTCAAACGGAGGTATGGTTTTACAGAAGGAAACTGATGCTAAAGATCTCATGGACCTGCGTGTGAGCAACGATGAGGTTTTGGAGAGGAGGCAAGCAAGCAAGGAGGAGGCTTATACATAAGATTAGGAAAAGTAACTGAAATTTCTGGGACACGTAATAAGAAAAGAGGGCCTGGAGAATCTAATACTCACAGGTCGAATGGGGGGAAAGAGAGACAGGGGAAAGCAACGCGTGACATAGCTGGCAGGTTTAAGCAAGTGGATGACAGAACGTGGTCTGGGGGAGGTGGCCGAGGAACGAAACCTATTGAGAACTACAATGGATAGGGGGAAGTGGAGTGCTATGATCGCCTACGTCATAAAGGGACAAGGTACATTTAAAAGAAAGTGATTTCAGTGTCAGCCGATGTCTTGTTAAATGGAAACATCTGACTTGTGACAAAAATTGTTTCAGATATTTGTTTGCCTTGATGATTATCGGCTAAATGAACTGGAGCCCACAAGGACCATGACAAACGACGCTGGCAAAGAAGGTCACTGAATGACGATAAATTATAATTTTAGTCAAAGATGATGACAAGACAAAGAACAATATTCGCTATAAGACAGAGGTCACGACCAGCCGAAAACAGAGAACTCACGGAGAGTAATAAGAGTCCGTTTCGCAGCGACGCAAAAGGGAAGACACGCCCGTTAGACTGTTCACCCACCTTGCTACGTTCCATCTCTGCTTCGCTCGTCTATAGCAGTAGGTTACAACCAAAATAAAATTTGCTTACTGCTACAAAAAGTATCATGGCTTTATTCTGTGGGTGACGATGTGGCCAAAGAGTTATTTTAAAGCCACAAACGTTTGACTGGAAGAAGCTTCACCCTGAGAACGAAACTGGTGTCTGCAATGCTACACATGTCATGGCTTCAAAAATAAAGATTGGTAGGTGCGGCTTCCTGTGTCGGTTTCATATTGTTGGGGAGACCTATATGGGAAAAGCATGCTTTTCTACAATGGCTATAGGTTCCAGTCTTGTGAAACTATTTCATATATTTCTGCTCATTTTCCATGACTTCATCCAGTGAAGGAAGTTAGCTGACCAAATTTCGTGTCTCATTTATTTATTATTTCTCACTGACGGTAGTAGAGTAGTTGTCGAAAAGGAGTCCTTCAATCGCTTCAGTAGGGCCACCACTTGTCTGAGAGCCGGAGAATAGATTTCTAAATTGAGGGGGTCTTTAGAAGATACATCCTTGTGATTGAGTCGTTTGTAACATCACTTCGTAACATCACTTCCTGCGTTTCCATGTAATTCTCTCTGGGGGTTTCTTTTTTTCACGGACGGTGGTTGAAACCATAGGAAAAAAAAGGTCTGTTTCAAGGAGGTTTCGTATCTTTTGAATAAGGCTTCAATTTTCTCTGAGACAGAGAATAATTCTTCAAAAAAGAAAAAAAAACACACAGCAGTTTGTGCACAAATTGTTGATTATCTAAGGTGCGCAACTTACAAATGCTGATTGACAAGTAAGATTACCAATCCTATAAAACAAGTTTTAGACCAGATAGAAGAATTACTCTTTTTGTTTATTGAACTCCAGCTAGGTGGTGCAACTGTGGTTTTCGTGACAATTCCCATCTTGATTTCAGTTGTCCTTCACCTTGATTGGTTGCCAACCAAAGAGTGACCACTTTGCCCAGCTATTCGCCCACATCTGAGGCCGGGAAAAAAAGAGATGAGTTCGTACCGTCCCCAAGAGTATTTATGCGAAAGTGAACGCAACGGTCTCGTTTGGAAATTGAACTATTAACGCCATCCCTACTTCCCGAGTTGATAACCGCTTCGCTACGCGCACATCAAATATTCCGTATTTGTTTGCCCGTTTTTGGCGTTCTAATGAAAATCAGGTTTCAAATTTTGGAAGCCCTTATCCTAAAATCAAGAAACCTGTTGTAATTTTGGCTAATCCTCGTCGCCAAAATGTTGTAACCTAGGGAAGGTTTTTGAATAGAATAATCATACGAAGGTTTGTAATAAAAGAAAGGTTAGGACAAGTACAACACATATAAGATTTGCCAGCGGCGCGTATGTGAAGTATTCAACTGCTAGAAGTGAATTCCTCAATGAATCTCCAATTTACCCACGCGGTCAAATGCGGCACAAGGCCGAATTTAATGTGGGGGTATCAGAGCCCGTGGTTTCGGCCAAAAATTCTCCGTAGATCCCGTATAAAACGGTGTCGGGTAGCTGTTTCCCGAGACGAGACTCTGCCCTTCGATATAGCCTCGTCAGATGCAGAGAGTTTATCCAGATCGAATAATGAAACTAGTATCAGAATTAAATAGATTCATTTCTTTTCAAAATTATGAGAGTTGATTGATAAGTAAGGTTTCCAATTCTACAAGAAAAGTTTTAGACCAGATCGAATAATGAAACTGATATCAAAACGAAAGAAATTCATTTATCCTTTTCCAAATAACCGCCATTTTTGTTTTGCACATTTTCCCAGTCAGTCTATTCATTTCTTTTTAATTTCGTCCGTAAAGAAAGTGTCCGGTTTACGTTTGATTCAATTGCCCACAGGAAACTTCAACTTTGACATCAGAATGAAAAATGTTGACCTTTCACCGCCTGTTTCTATTTTGAGAACAACCAGACGTACGATGATGACACACCGAGTACACTGACTGTGCATTTCGGGAAATTCCCTATTTGTGCCTTTTATTGTTATAATCAAAGTCTGCATTGTAATGAAAATTCTCTCTCCATGTTCTATTTTGCAGATCTGTTGTTACTGCGCTTGCAACATTTCATTACTTTTGATTGGCGAGCAGTCTTTTGGCGTGAAACATTATCAGCTTCAACTAAGCGTTCTACTAGGCTGGCATCTCGCTCTCACCCTTTCACTGTCGAAACTGTTAAATGTAGCCGTCTCTTCTACTCCAATAGCTTCATCTCTCGCACTTCTCGCCTGTGGAACTCCCTCTCCTTTTCCTGTTTCCCCGATAGCTATAATCTCCAACTATTCAAATGTAATGTCAATCGACGTCTCCAGATTCCCTGATCTATCCCCTATCCTTCTCTTCATCCTTTCCTCTATCACTCCTATTTGCTCTCGCTCCAACTCTCTGTACCACCTTGCGTGCTAGTGGCTTCCCTCCTTGCTGGGGGGAATGCTTAAAAAACAAAACAAAACAAAACTCGGAAGTAGTGTTTTTCACTAAAGTTTGCTATTACTCAATGCCGACACGATACTGTCACCAAGCACATTTGAACAAGACTTTGTATACTAGAGAATGTCCTTCCAAAACAAGATATCATTTTTTAGTCTAGTAACATAAGCAATTCTCACTCAAATGATCTAAAATTTTAACAAACTGTGTAAAAACTAAGTTGATTGTGCCAACTTATCGCAATTTGAATCGTCCAGGAAGATGGATTAAGCGTGCAAGTGATAATGACAATGTGCTGTTGAAATGGCCACCACGTTCACCTAACTTGATATCTTGTGATTTTTTTTTCTATAGGGTTATGTAAAAGGACAGGTCTATATCCCCCTTATTGCCTAGAGAAACATAAGCAGAGAAGGACTGAAGCGCTGGAGAATGTTACGCAAAACATGCTACATCGTGTTTGGCAGGAGCTGGACTACCGACTTTGATGTCACGTGTGAAGCTTTTGTGAAATTGATTATAATATCTATAACCCTTTGAATATCTTCTTCGAATTTTGAGAAATAAAATCTTTTTATTATTTAACATGAAACCTATTTCGTTTACCTGGAACAAAAAGTTACTCAGATATTCACATT